GAGATTGCCACTGAAAAGAGAAATCTCGACCCATTGGCAGGCAGGTTGGTTATTTTTTGGTATGACAAACCCTAGTTTTTATTATTGGGAGGACTCTTACCTTCTAGGGGGGTTTTAATACGAACTTGGCATTACTATATACAAGAAAACCACAAAAAAAAGGGGAATCCAACCCTTGACAATTCAGACCAGCATGTAGCATTCTCCCTTGATGATGAAATTTGATGCAAGTTGCATAGCAGATATATATAGTGATTACATTGGTCGTACTTGTAGATGGCAGAACGCAGAATGCCGTCATGCTATTGCCACTCACACCACTGAGGACAACTCAAACTCGCATAGCATTCCTCATCGATGATTTAGATTGATTCACATTATGTGATTTTAGGAACAGTTTTGCCGTATTTAGCCGTATTTCAAGCTGAGTGGAACCAGCCATGGAGGTATGTTTCTTAGCATCCGGCGAGAGAGTCGCGACACTTGATGCAGCTGACTTCGAAGGAAAAACCTGCAAGGCCGTGAAGCAAGCCTTAACAGCTGAGATTGGTGTAACGAGATTCAGACAGAGACTTTTTCTGGAAAATGGTGACGGTGAGATCCCAGATGATGAGGTTTTTGCCTCCGTGCCAGAAAAGGTTCAGCTGGTGGTCATGGAATTTTGCCCGCCCAATGCAGAAGAAGAGGAGGAGATGATGTGGGCAGCAAGTGAGAATGATACAGCTGGCCTTGAAGAGTTGCTGAAGCGCCCGCTAAATCCGATGGCGATATGTGAAGCTCTAGCTGAAGAGGATATTGAAGGTATGACAGCCTTGCACTACGCTGCAGAGTACGGGCGTGTTGAGCCTATGCAGCTTTTGCTCGAGGCACGTGCAGAGATAAATGCAAATGCGTCAGGTATCATGGGACAAGAGATGACGCCCTTGCATTTGGCGGCTTGCTATGGCCACCTAGAGGCTGTTCGTTTTTTGATTGAAAACGGCGCAGAGAAAGATCAGACTGAGCAGCTCGGCGCCTCTGCACTGGAGCTCGCAGTTGAGCATAGCCATTTTGACATTGCCCGCTTTCTCATACAGATGGGGGTAGACAAGGGTCCGCTCTTGACCAACTCGACCCGGGCAATGCTTGTGGCAGCAATCTTTGGCTATGAGGAAATGGCCCGCTTCCTTGTTGAAGTCGGGGTTGACAAAGAGCAGACCGACAAGGACGGTTTCAGGCCGCTGCATTGTGCAGCTCAAGAAGGATATTTGGAGATTGTCCGCTTTCTCGTTGAGTGCGGTGCCAGTCACAACTCAACCACAGAGGCCGGAAAGACTGCATTGGATCTAGCGTCCGAGCGTGGCCATACGGACGTTGTCGGCTTTCTGTCTGAGTTGGACTCACAATCTCCCCGAAAGAAAGTCCAAAGAGTCGACAGTGACAGACTAGATACATGAAACAGGAAACTATGCAGATGTTTGCAGCATTTGCAGCTCTGGACCACTGGGGAACCAGTGCTTCTTCGAAGTGTTTGATTGGAGTTCCTCATTTCGACCAACCTTTTTATTTGGCAGGATTTTGGCCAGCATCAGGAAGAATTTGCGCAAGTAGATACAAGTGGCCTTTACCGGCAGGTTTCTGAAGGAAATCGTCACAAAGACGTGATGATCAATCCAAAGCTGACCGAGAAAAACGATATGGCAAGGGGATGCAAGGGGTACCATGAGTACCCCCCCCATCCATTGTTTCCTGTTTTCCTGTGGATCTTTCCCGAAACCAGCGCATTGATAGCAGTTTTCACACACCGATCAACTAGACGGCTGTTCGTTGGGCTTGGCTTTGGTCATTCTTGTTTTTGATCCAAAAAACACTAGAGTCCGACTCGATAACCAGAAACATCCAGAAACTTAGCTGGGCTAGCCACAGCAAACTGTGACCCTGGGGGCCTTGTGGAGATCGACCAGCCTGGCTTTGGCTCATATAGGGCATGCACATTGCAGAGCATAGGTCGGATAGGTAGGGTATGTATCGGCAGTGTAGCGACTGTACTGGTGGTAGATGCCAGCATCCATGCCTGCTTTTGCCACCCAAATTTGTTCATGATATTCATGAGTTTTTGCAAGAATCGTAGGTGAAAGCAACCCATGACAATTCACACCAGCATGTAGCATTCTCCCTTGATGAGGAAGTTTGACGCAAGTTGCATAGCGGAGTATATAGTGATAGCATTGGTCGTACTTGTAGATGGCAGAACGCAGAATGCCGTCATGCTATTGCCACTCACACCACTGTGGACAACTCAAACTCGCATAGCATGCCCCATCAATGATTCAGATTGATTCACATTAATTATATGTATGCCTATGTGATTTTCAGAACAGCTGTGCCATATTTCAAGCTGAGTGGAACCAGCCATGGAGGTATGTTTCTTGGCATCCGGCGAGAGAGTCGCGACGCTTGATGCAGCTGAATTCGAAGGAAAAACCGGCAAGGCAGTGAAGCAAGCCTTGGCAGCCAAGATTGGCATCACAAGATTCAGACAAAGACTCTTTCTGGAGAATGATGCTAACGAGATCCCGGATGATGAGGTTTTTGCCTTTGTGCCAGAAAAGGTTCAGCTGGTGGTCATGGAATTTTGCCCGCCCAATCCGGAAGAAGAGGAGGAGATGATGTGGGCAGCAAGTGGGAATGATACAGCTTGGCTTGAAGAGTTGCTGAAGCGCCCGCTAAACCCGATGGCTATATATAAAGATGAGGATATGGAAGGTATGACAGCTTTGCACTATGCCGCAGAGGACGGACAGGTTGAGCCCATGCAGCTTTTGCTGGAGGCACGTGCAGAGATAAATGCGAATACATCAAGCGTCATGGGACGAGATTTTGCGCCATTGCATTTGGCGGTTCGCCGTGGCCACCTAGAGGCTGTTCGTTTTCTCGTTGAAAACGGTGCAGAGAAAGAGCAGCCTGACCACACCGGTGCTGCCGCATTGGAGCTCGCAGTTGACTGGCTCCATTTTGACATTGCCCGCTTTCTCGTGCAGGTGGGTGCCGGCCAGGATCCGGTCTTGACCAAAACGAGCCAGTTATGGCCTCTGGCAGCTTACTCTGGCTATGTGGAAATGGTCCGCTTCCTGGTCGAAATCGGTGCTGACAAAGAGCAGACCGACAATTGTGGGCAAAGGCCTCTGCACATTGCAGCCAAAGCAGGTGATTTGAACATTGTCCGCTTTCTCATTGAGCGCGGTGCCAGTCACAACTCAACCACAGAGGCCGGAAAGACTGCATTGGATCTAGCGTCCGAGCGTGGCCATACGGACGTTGTCGGCTTTCTGTCTGAGTTGGACTCACAATCTCCCCGAAAGAAAGTCCAAAGAGTCGGCAGTGACAGACCAGAAGCATGAAGAAAATGTGTGCAGATATTTTGCAGCGTGGAACGCCGGGGAACCAGTAAGTGGTTCAATTTGATTTCCTCATTTCAGGGCATATCCTATCATATGTTACTGGTATAGATTTTCTTGAAACCCGCCAGATGTTCGCTGGGCTTGGCCTTGGTCGCTGCTCGATGCCACATTCATCACTGGTTTTGGTTCATAGGTGTTGGCGCAGTTCCTCATTGTCGTGTGATGTCTTGGGTTGCGAAGTCCCTGAGTCGACTATCTCACATTAAAGATAGATAGGATACGACAGGATCATCAACATGGCATTTCTGGAGCCCTGAGGCGTTGAGTGTCCAAACCCACCACGATGTCATAGGATGTCCATCCCCGACACTGAGGAAACTCCTCAAAGGGCAGCTGCCGGTGTTGCTTCAAATGTGTCAGCTCTGGAGCGTGTTGGCCGCTTTGGCGCATGGTGAGGATTCCAGGGCTGCCTCCTGGCAGTTTCCGGAACTGCCTTACGTGCAGCGCTTCCAGTTGCTGGGAGATGACTGTGGGGATCCATTGGGGGATCTTGGAATATCATAGTAGAATATCCATGAATATCCTAGAGGCGTTGGTGCTGCCAGAGGTGTGGGACTTGTCGGTCAAACATTCAGGATTCGACATGGATGACACAACTGCTGAATATCATCAGTTGCGGTATCAAGTCATTCAGGTTTAAGGTATCTATTTGCAACCAAGCTGGTGGAGACTTGCTTTGCGCCATCCCAGTTAGTTATATCATGTTATATCATGTTATATCCATCAATCCCTCCACAGGAAGATTACTGGTCCACTGCAATCATTTTCCATTCCACAACTTTTCTGATGCTGATGACCTAATTATATATGATAATTACTGTGATGAGCCGCATTCATTGAGAGTTTCACTATTGAGAGTTTCATTACTGAGAGTTTCACCGACCCACTGAAGTGCATGGGGTTGACGACTGGTCAACCCATAGATGCCCAGCCTAAAATCGACCAGTGTTGGCATTATTTGGCATTCACATGCTTCAAGTTAATCCCAAAGTTTGATATTCGGCAAAATTTGAGCTCCAAGATGTGGCCGTGTAACATCGTGTAACGTAGTGAAACCAGTGAAATCCTACCACCAGCCATCCTCAGCTCCGAGGTTTACCTTGGGGAGTTTCAGGGAACTTCTCTACCTACAGTGTTACCTGGGTGGTTTCCAGGTACGCTTTGTGCTGGCTTTGATCACCCCAGTGCCTGGCTGCAACATCAAATCATATCAAATCGCCGGTGTCGGTAGGTTCCGAACCCCAAAGTCAAGTGGTTTAAGATGGTTCAATATTGTTTCAATATCGCTTTCTTATGTTTTCTTGATTTGTTCAGCTCATTGTGGTAGACGTATTTCTGGACAAACCCGGAGAGGCCTTTTGTCGTCCAACTTCCGTGACAACCACCAAGCAGGATCCCTGCCCTCTGGTAATAAAACATGGCAACGAAAAATCCTTCACTTGTAGACTTGTAGATGATTTTCCCATTGAACCCGCCACTTATATATTCCAAAAAAATGAAAAAATGTATGTTCCCTTTCTTGGCCACGTAGTTATCTTCGTTCTGTATTCCATTCAGGGCCCTGCTCATCCCTGGTCATCCCTGGTCCAAGGTGGTTCCTTTGCTCTTACTCCTGTGTTGTGTGATTTTGGAGCTCTTTAGACGCGGGGCAGGTACGATCCAACCAGTCCAGGGAAAATTGAGGGAAAATTGAGATATCTTGGGATCTGATTTGACCATATACTATGCCATATACCCCTGTAAGTAATGCCACAAGGACATATAAGATGTGTGTTTTAATATGTTTTAATAATAGTTTGTCATAATTTGTCAAATCATGTCTAGTATGTTTATTCCATATCATTCGTTTATGACTGACTGATGCTCATTATGGAAAACTGTGTTGTTTCATGTTGTTTCCACAAGCCCACTTTAATCCACTTTATACGTTATGAACAAAGCCAGCACGCAACGGGATAACACCTTGGCACAGCGGCACAGGAGTGCATGCTGGGCTAAAGATCCTTGACCTAATTGAGGGCCGGTTAGTGGGGCACAGTGGTTCCACAGGATCTCACCCCAGAAATCGCAGAGGCCAAGGGGCAAACTGCAACGTATTTGTTGGATCTAGTGGTTAATGCAAAATGCAAGGAAGTTCAATAGGAAGCCAAGTGATGGATAATTTAAGTTTAAATGTAGGAAAACATGCCCAGTGAAATCTTAACCCACCCAAGACGGCTCAATTCGACATGGTGGTGTGGGTGCAAGTCTATAATATGTGTATATATAATCCCCGGCCGGTGATAGCCTATAGAATGGGGATCTTTTACAATTATGAAATGGTTTTCCGGACAGCCATTATATAGGAAGGATGGTTGGGGTGCACTGTGGCCTCCTTTTGCAAGAGTTGGGTTCATCATTTTATAAGGCCCGCACTGCCTACTTGCAAACTCTTCCTTTTTCAAGCATAAACTTTTGCAAAGAAAATCCCTTCACTTTATAGGTGCCAAACGGTTTGGTGAATCAAATTTTGTTATAGACACCCCGCTGACCTTTGCAAAGAAATTGTCCTCATTTTATAGGTATATGGTTGTGCTAAGTAGAGCATGGTGCACCATTTTTTGTGATACTAAATTCTATATATATATGTATTTATATTTATATTTATGTTGAACATTTGTTGGTTTTGATGTTTTCAAAGAATGTTTGATTTATTTTGAGACGTCATAGATTGACAAGAATGGGGGGGCAGGGGGATCACCAAAAAAAATATTAAAACAAATTCAACACATTTTGAAACCCACACTGGCACCTATAAAATGCCTTGCAAAGCTTGTACAGACCGCATTTAGTGTTCAACCAATTTTCCTTTCTTTACCTTTGTCCCAAGACTTTGGACAAATTACATTATTAGAGTATATTAGAATCAATATTCTGACATGTTATCTGACATTTTCTCTGGGACATATTTTGACATTCTATCTGGCATCTTCTGTAGCATAAAAAATGCATATAAAATAAGCATATTGCAGCACATATTCAAATTCACGAAAAAATGAAGTTTTTTTCATTTAATGGTATTGCTAATGGTATATGATCTATAATATTTGAAATATTTATAATATATATTTCTTCACTTTGATTATATTCAACATTGATAATATATATGTTCTACAATATTAATTCTTCAGGTACAACATTTGTCTTAATTTGTTGTATAGATATTTTTAACTCACAATTAAACATATTATAAGAATACACATATCAAAAAGTAAAGAGCCCATAAAATATCATTTTTAATTTTCAAACGTTACAAAAGTACCTTTTCCTGTTTACGCATTTAAATATGACATGTTTCACTTTCTTGTTGCGGCTTTTCCGCTGTGTCTCTCCCCTATAGCCTTCCCCCTTGGGGCCTTTCCGGGTCGAAGTCCTCGAGCCGCTGGGGCTTCCCCCTTCTTGTGTTACCCGACAGAAAAGAGGCAATGACAGGGTTTTGGTAGCCTGCTTTTTTTAAGTATTTCTTATTAAGCTGCAAAGGCGAGACCTTTTCGATGCCATGAAAGTAAGAAAGCAAAAATTGCCGCAAAACTTGTACAGTGTGTTACAGACCGCAGAGTGAATGCTGCACACCCAAGCTACCACCTATAAAATGCCATGCAAAGCTTGTACAGACCGCAGAGTGAATGCTGCACACCCAAGCTACCACCTATAAAATGCCATGCAAAGCTTGTACAGACCGCAGAGTGAATGCTGCACACCCAAGCTACCACCTATAAAATGCCATGCAAAGCTTGTACAGACCGCAGAGTGAATGCTGCACACCCAAGCTACCACCTATAAAATGCCATGCAAAGCTTGTACAGACCTCAGAGTGAATGCTGCACACCCAAGCTACCACCTATAAAATGCCATGCAAAGCTTGTACAGACCGCAGAGTGAATGCTGCACACCCAAGCTACCACCTATAAAATGCCATGCAAAAGCTTGTACAGACCGCAGAGTGAATGCTGCAGACCCAAACTGCCACCTATAAAATGCCATGCAAAAGCTTGTACAGACCGCAGAGTGAATGCTGCAGACCCAAACTGCCACCTATAAAATGCCATGCAAAGCTTGTACAGACCGCAGAGTGAATGCTGCACACCCAAGCTACCACCTATAAAATGCCATGCAAAGCTTGTACAGACCGCAGAGTGAGTGCTGCACACCCAAACTGCCACCTATAAAATGCCATGCAAAGCTTGTACAGGACGCAGAGTATTACAGGAGCTATTTCATAATGCGCCTAATTCCATTTTATAGGTGATTTGTTGGGCGTTTGTCTTACATCCCAACTACCCCCTCCAACTTGAGCAGTAACATTTTATAGACTATATTTTTGCTGTGGTCAATATCACTGTTAACCTTTGCAAAAGAAGTTGGGTCATAATATAGGAAGGTATGTGTTCATGATGGTTTTGCTTTGCACCTCATTTCATAGAGAGAATGTATGGGTCTACACCTTAGCTTTTCATTTTATAGAGCTAATTTTCCTATAGAATGAGGGGGGCAAAGGTCCCTAGGCAACACTAAGGGAGGATTATATATAAATATATAGGTTATTATGTTATTTTATATGTATATACTATACACAAGTAATTATACAGAAGACGCATCTATACATCGCACAGGACAAGTCGAAAAACAAATAGCGCAAGGATGTGCAAAGCGTGATGCGAGCGAACTGGCAAAATGCTGTGTATGATCACGTGGTCAGTGGAAACACTAAGGCAGTTTTGAGTCTCTAAAGCTACTCTATAATGCCTGTATTTGCGTCAACCTGGTCACAAATGCTGCATCGTCCATTGCCAGCAAATGTGCTAACACCTGTGGAGAACGTTGTTTGCACCATTGCACAGCGGTATTTCACAAATCCAAGAAGTGGTTCTCTTGAAGTTCTCTTGCGCAGGGCTTGACACATGGATTTACGGCACAGGCGAAGCTGAAACCAAACCCCAACACACAACTTGGTTTGAACAATGCAGGACACATTTCACATGGCCACTTGTCAAGCATTTGTTTGAGCCAGTCATCAGTCATTAATTTCATGTGTCTTAATTCATTCAACTAGGACACATGGCAAGTTCACTCAAGTCATTTGTCAACATTTGCCCAATCACTCAATCACCCAAAACATGGCAGCACCTGCTGATGACCAAGATGTTTCCAAAGCAGCACTTGGGTCTTATGATATGTTGAATTTTTATTTTTTTGGACTTTCACCAAGAACATGTAGTGCTATTGAATGCTATTGCATGCTTGGTTTGGGTTATATAGTTGTTTTGTTTCCTGATCGGGAACTGCTCCGCGTTGTGACAAAGCCTGCAGCGTTGCAGTTTTCATATATGGGCCGGAAAAGAACAGATTGAAAATAATATCAGGATGATTCAAGCTTATTGCATGCCATGCCAACGGCTGATGAAGAGCCCGTCAATGAATCATGTATTGTTTTTGCAGCCTTTTGGATGAAGCGCAGAACAAGAACTAAGAGCGACCGAGACGGAGGGAGAGACAAAAGCAATTTAGAAACCAAATTGAGTTAATCACGTGGCTGTGTTATGTTTTGTTTCTGTTTTAGGCAAATCAATTGCAGTAATTGACTGTAGATCAAAAGGAGATAAGAAGTAGATAGGTTTGAGTTGCTATAGGGGCCAGGAGCGGTCAAAGAGATGAGATAATGAAATCAGATAATTCAGACAAGCTGCAGCAAGACCATGTGTGATGACATGCGATCAATATACAATATACAATATTCTAAGTGCTGGGCCACTACAGCATATATACAGTATATATACACCCTTCGCTTCCAAATGCGACGCTAAACTTCAACATTGTGACATTCACGCAGTACACTTTTTTTTGCGTGAAGGACAATGTTTCTTCCATGTTTTCATATCAACCCCCATTCTAAACATTTCCACATGTAGGTGTCACAGACAGCACATGTTTTTCCCCTCATCTGACCTTGTGCCAACCAGCATTGACCAATCTTGGACTCTTCATTTCAGAGTTCTCAGCTGCTGAGACATATCTTTTGCCGTGAGGGTAGTGTGCTTTAACCCGAATTTCACAGGCATTTCATGCACCATGATGTTTGGCCAACAGTATTGACGCGCTCTGACGCACTGAAGATTATTGAGCAAGATCTTAGTTCAATGCGGTTGGCGATTGCCCACAAACTCCATATATGAGGCTAGCGGCTATTGCGTTTGAGGATTGCTTGATTTCTCAAGAACCATAGCACCAAACTATCTCACAGTCACACCCTTAGACTTTAGATTCAGATCTGAACCCTTGCGTCACCTGGGAAAGATAGTAATTAAAACATATGTGTTTCGAGAACAAGGTTAACTTCAACGTTGAAGTCTAGGGTATAATGTATGTACAATGTTGTGCAAGTAGATGCAAGTAGTATGAGTAAAATCATTCTATGTCGATGCCTTATATGGGACGATGATGATGACGGCTACAAATTGAGATACTTGAAGAATTTGAAAAGGGAACTGCAAGTGACGTCCAAGTTCCAGTTTTCCAAGAAGAGGGCCGCCAAACCGTGGTGCATGAAGGAGGGAACCCACCTGCACATCCACAAGAAGGCTCTGACAAAGGGACCCTTTGCAGAGCCGGAAGGGGACAGCAAACAAGCGCCATCAAATATATACAGAGTATAATTCCTTCAAGTAAGATCGTTGATTTAGTATGATTTAGTGACTTCGCGTGAAATCTATTCGTTGGGTAGTCCTACATGACATGAGGAGTAATATCAACGGGATGACATGGCCCATCACTAAGGATCTTGACCGTCTTCTTTATTGGCGGCGCTTCTACCTGTATGGCCTTGAGAAGTTGTCAGCGTTTTGACGCAGGTGCGGCTGGGCTGTGGGCCCTTGGTGGATAGTCAATCAGGGCACACAAAGGAGAAAAAGCAAACGAACAAATGAGCGTCGGACAAGGAAGTCTGCAAGAAATTGGCGGAAACTACTTGCGACCTACAGGTTGAAGCCGAAAACAAGCAAGGTTGGTGGTAGGTTCGGGTAAAACCTGGTTTGGGTAGAAGCTGGTTGGTGTAAGTGTGGGTTAGTGTCAAAGGTGATGTGTGTAAAAGCGAGTTTGCGCAAAAGTTGGTTTCTGCAAAAAGTGGTTGGTGTAAAAAATATTGTAAAGGATAGTATCAAGGAGTATTTGTGTAAAAGCTGTGAAGATGATGAGGGACGAGCTAACAAGCAAAGAAGTAATCTGCGCAGAAGCAATTTATAGCTCAAGCTAAAGATATGACGAGGTTTGTAACAAGAACATTCACAAAACAGGCCGGCAGTGGGGACTCCAACCGAAGGTGTACCAAACCTCAACCGAAAGGCTATACCCAGCCGGACAAACGCAAGCAAAGCAAAAATCCGCACAGAAGCAATCTGTAGCTCAAGCTAAAGACAAGGTTTGTAATTAACAATATCCACAAAACACACCGGCAGGTCAGCGGATTTACCAATGCCAAAGCCACACGTTTTTTTGCCAATTGAATCCAATCGATTGGATGTTTTCACACGCTTATTGGTCCGTAGATTTGTAGGTTAATTCTCACTTGCTGCTTTTATAACCGTTCTGGTCTGTTCTGCATTTACGCGAATCTTTTTGTTATACGGACCTCCATCACTGTAATTTGAAATATATTACATACATGTACATACATGTACATACGAAAATGATGATTTAAATTTATTGACTATGACTGTACTATGACTTATGGATTATCTTCATTATCTTCATTGAACCATCTCTGCAGTGTCTTGAGATTGTCTTGAGCATCCACAGGTGGTGAGAAGTTGGAAGATTTCGCATTCCTTCGACAACTTCCAGACCTGCCCTGTGACGCTGACTGGCCTGAGCACCATTGGGCCGGGGCACTTGGAACGCCGACGGCCGACGGCTGGTGGCAATTTTGGTGGTGGAAATGATGGAAAGCCATGGGGAGTCGCACAGAAATTATATTAAATATATTAAATTATTAACCATACATTGATTTCAAAACCAAAAATGAACATGCTGGATTCCTTCAACATGGACAGGTGTGGACAGGTTGGATTTATGGATTTTACATGATTTTACTGTTGAAGATGGTGATGTTCCCAGAGACTAATTGTGGTCAAAGATGCCGAAAATCATGATGTGGCGTGATTGCATTGTATGATTGAGGTTTACGATTTGTGGTCCTTAGATCGCCTCAGTGAATTCTTAGCACAGCATGACCATCAGAATGCATCAGTGAATCTTGAGGAAAGATGGTCATCCACATTTTCTATCATTTTCTGATATGATTATTGTACTTATTGTACTTATTGTACTTTATAATGATTTATAGCGTGTTTACAATTATTGCATACACATTTCGGCAGTTTCGATTCCTGCGCCACATTTTTCGAGGCATTTTTTGCATCGCTGAGGTCTTTGCGGTCTTCTGGCCTTGCGCGGTGTGCTACGGTATCCTCATCCCATGCTTTTTATTTTACCTCTACACCTGGCAACACATTGTGCTGCGTCACTTGGTGTTGGGTTTTTTGGGTCATTTCAGGGATGTGAAGGAAACCATCAAATCTTTAGTTTATCATCAAATCCTTGTTTATTATGGTTTGTTTGTCTATCATCCTGGCTTTCTAATTGAAATTACCACTTTGGAGAATCCACCATTTTTGGACAAACCCCATGACTGTCTTTTTCCCCTTATCCGAAAGCGTATGAAGATTCAGCGTTTCATTCCCCTTGAACATGAGTCTTGGTCATGATAGTCATGAGGGATCGTAATTCCCAGTATGGATGGAATTGAACAGTTGAAGCCACCAACCAGATCATCATTGGCTCCCGGTGGTTGATGGTGATCGAATGTGCTTGCACATACTTGCACTAGCAATTCGTATGCTTATGGCGCCCAGAATATCAATGATGTATCCTCAAACTCAAGCGCCGGCTCGTCACCAAGGATACAATCGGATGCCCATGGAAATCAAAGGGAACAAAGGTGAAAACCAGCTGGCCGTCGGATTTCAGGAGACTGGGAGTCTCCGGGAGTCAGCAGCGTCATCCGACCGGGACGACCCCCAGAACTATACTACTTACGGCGGGCGAGAGTGCGACGCCCCAGAGGTAGTATGAAACATCAGTTCCATCCATATATTTAATGTGTAAAATTGATACCTCCAAAATTTCCCCTACAAAATGTCGCTATAACGCGTGTTAAAGTTTGGCAAAGCATTTTTTGTGGGATAAGATTGGGTATCTTGAATCATCTCCAAGCAGATATTTCATTTTGTAGAGGAACGTTTTTGGTATCATTTTAGAGGACACCTTAAGCCATGCTGTTGATTTTGTAGTGTTTGGGGTTTTCGGGAAATTAAGGCCATGCTTTAGATTTTGTGAGATGTTTTTGGTTTTGTAGAGAATTTTGCTGAACAATGATTTCATTTGACTTCATATGGTTTCAATTGGTTTCATAAATAGTTGACATTTATGCTCATACATGTTCTCTCATTTTCTGTGGTATTGATATTACAAGCAAGTTCTATAAAAGATGCCAAACCTTTTCTATTCAAAAGCGTTTCAAAACATTCACTTGCCGTTTCTCATTTTCTGGTTGTTTCCCTATTGTGGTCCGTCCTGGGTCTCCCGGTGTATCTCCCCCATTGTTTCCTACATGTCTTTCCCCGTTGTGGAGCTCGAAGGTCTTGAGCCCCGCGGCATGGCCTCCCCCGTGTCCCCCCGTTGTGTCTCCCCACGGCGATATGAGAAATGGGAAACGATACAGACGATAAGATTCTTATCGTTTGTGCGGGTTGTAAAATTATATATCATATATATATATATATATATGTGTGTGTACATGCACATTTAGCTGATTTAAAAAAAAAAAAAACATGATTGCCAACAAAGCATTTTTTGGTATTTATTCTTGACCATCTAAAAGTTTGAACATCTATTTCCTTGTTTTCTACTTTTTTATGTGCGTGAGATCTGTGAATATATTCATGCCCACCCAGTGGCATGAATTCAATGTACATTTCAATCACTCCTAGGCGACTCATAGGTCTTTTTTGGATTGGATAAAGTTTGGGTCACTATGCTCAAGCAATCTCTCAGATTGCACGGGCGTGGTGAAAATTTAAAAGACAACTCTCGTGAAGACCAGAAGCAAAGTACAACAAAGAAGCGGCAGAAAAGTTGAAGCCACCACAAAGAATTAGAAACCGGGCCTCTACGAAATCCAACAATGATTTTTGTTGATTTTTAGACCCCAAACACAGGTTTCTCTACAAAATCCAATTGTTTCCGGGATGACTTTTGAGGGTGTATATATTTGAACCAAGTTTTTAGTGCCTATATATAACAGGTGGATTTCCATGATTTGGCTTTTGTAGAAGCGCTGGGTGACCCAGGTCCCAGCAAAAGTGGGGTTGGGCGTTTGGGTTTGAAAGGCCTGAATGTTTCCTGTTCAAATGCATTCAAATGCTATGTTTTTGGTTTTGTAGAGGCCGCTTTTGTATTTTCCAGAAATGCGTCTACAAAATCTGAAGCCCCAACCCCACCAGGTCAATTTTTGGAGGTATTAAAATTGTGTGAACAAAATGGATTACATATGTTTAAATGGCTGGGCGGGCCAAGAAGGAAAACCTTCTCGGAGGTAGTCTAAAATACCGGCTCGGATGTTTGAAAGTCATTGAAAATCCGTACATTATTTGTAGTTACAGGACTGTGCTATGGTGAGTTGCATTTTGGTGGGCCGCCTTCCAGCATCATGGATTCTTATTGATAGTGTGAGTTTGACCTGTCTAATGTATATTTTGTATAGCCAAGTGATCACATGCCCCGTTGACATTTGGCTTTAGGGCCCTTGAGTCATACCGCGCTGCCGTGGTAAAAGTTGGGCATTTGACGATCCCGTTTCCAATTCATATTGGTAGCGGAGCAGGTGACGACCCGCATCCGGTGGTACGTCAGTGACCCAGGGAACTCTTTGTGAATTTGAGTCTGGTAACTTTGGGAATCAACTGAACTTAGTGTGTCGTGGTTCGGGAATCTGTCTGACCCTGACCTGGGCAGGCACTTGTTAACGTTTTTCCTTGTTCGACTCCGAACGGAGCGAGCATCATGTCGATCAATGGCCTTCGTTTCAATCAGGAGCGCCATTCGTCGGCACCACTTGAGACGAAGAGTGGATCATACATCTATGCAGGTGATGCGGCGAACTTTCATGATTGGCAGTTCAGGACTCTCCTTCGGATTCGTCTTTATGAGCAACAATTGGAGGAGGAGACAAGTAAGCCTGCGGATCCCGTTGGGACCACAGCAACAGAGCCTGCCGCAGAAGATGCAGATGAGTATGCTACTTTTCCAGATTTGTCGGGTGCTACTCAAGCAGCCCAGCCTACATCAGCAGTCTCGACTCCGAAGTCTGGAGCGAGCCGAAAATCCTCGAAGTCCGGCAAGCAGAAGACAGACATTGACCGTGGACCATTGGTCAACAAGGTGATTGAAGGACTGAGAGGAGATGCTTTCTCAATAGCTAGGGATCTTGGACTTGAAGTGTTGTCCAAACCTGGTGGCCTTGTGAAACTTGTGGGTGAGATCAAATCCCATGTGTTCCCAAGAGCCCGTGAGGAAGCAAAGGAACTATTTCGTGCAGGACAGAAGCAAGGTGGTCCTTTGTCTCGCCAACCAGGCGAACCCATGCTTTCCTATGTTCAGAGGAGACGACGTTGGTGGCACATGCTATGCGAGTTGGATGACACAATGGTGTTTTCAGACAGCTTGAGGACAGAGTTGATGTTGGAGTTGAGTGGGCTCAATCGACAGGAGATCCTCGTTGTGAAGGCCTGTGCAGACACTAAGGATTTTGAAGGTGTTGGCAAGGTGCTGATCGAGAACTACAGTGGCACTCACTTGCGAGAAGGGTCACGATCCTGGACAGGACGTGGTAATCCTCAACAGCATGGCAAGTCGTCAGGCAAGGGTTATGGCAAAGGCAAACCTTCTTCGAAGGGATCGTATTCCCAAGCAGCCTATGCAGCCTACCCCGATAATGGGGAGGAACATGCAGAATCTTGGGATGAAGCTGTGGATCAATCCTGGGAGGATGATTCATATGTTGGCATGCTTGGCGACATTGCAGAAGAGGAGCCAGGAAACCTAGAAGGTGACAACGAATTTGATTACTTTGACGACGTCGATGAGTACGAAGCAGTTGCATTGAACAGTTTGCTTGAAGTTGAAGGTGCAGAAGATGATCGACAGGCAGGAGACGCTATCCAGCTACAACTTGCTGCTTTCACCGCAATGGGGAAAGCAGGTGGCAAGGGGAAATCCTTTGGGAAGCCCAAAGGAAAGGGGAAAGGAAAGATCGTGAAGTCCAACCTCACGATCGATCAGAGGAGACGGAAGCTCACCGAGCTGAAGTCGAAGAGCAAATGTTTGAGATGCGGAGTCATAGGGCACTGGGCCGGTGACCCGGAATGTAAATTCCCGGGGTCCAAAGCCGGAGCCCCTGGAAAGTCAGCCCCAAAGCCCGCAGCTCACTTTGCCGACATGAGCGATTCTTCAGATGACGATGGTGTGACTTTGACAGCTTCACCTGATCGTGACAGAGATGGAGTTGCTATGATGGCAGTTCGACAAGCGAAGCCCAGCAGTCGACCTTCACGTGCAGCAGCATCCAGCAGCAACGTTGGCTTGATTTCCCGGGATCTCGATGTTACAATGAGACCCGAGGACCATGGGTGCATCTTTCCTGTTGGACAGTTCAAGGGTTTGTCTTTTTGGAATGTGTTGTTTGAACAGACAGGGTACTATCATCATGCCAAGAAACATACCCCCAAGAGTCCATACTATGTCACATGGTTGAATTGGGTTGACAAGTACTTTGTGGTTGGTGCTGATGGGATTCACTTGCGCGAAGTCCCTGTTGAGCGTGTCGAGCACCGAGATTTGTTGGTGACTCGGGAAACTGGCAGGAGGAAACCCCCAAATCCACCTTTGCCGAACAAGTGTCAGGAATGTCGTGAGTTTACAAAACAAGGTTCTACGGGGTACACCATCAGGAAGACCTGTCTTGTGTGCGGTCATTCCGAAACAACAAGACGTGACATGGTACCGTTGATGACCCCTGAAAATTGCCCTCATGACGACACAGATTTTCGGGGATCCAGCAAATCAACTCACCGTACTTTCTGCAAGAAGTGTTGCACGTTCATTGATGAAGCTCCTATGCAGATTCGTAAGGAGCGTGTTGCAATTGCCAAGAAGGTTGAAACAGCATCAGTTCGAGCAGTCCCCATTGTTGAATCATTGGTTGAAGAATCGGATGGATTGAATCCAGTCCAGTTGGAAGAGTTGTTGCCCCTGTTTGCCACTCTCGTTACCGAAACCTGTCAATCTGAGGTCATGACCCGTGCACGTCTACATGAACTACTCCATCAAGCCATCAATGACGTGACAGAGGAAGAGGACAGTTTTTCTCTTGTCAATGAAGATGGGCACGGCGACCCCTCGGGCAGGGAGTTAGCTGGGTACGTTGGCATTTGTTTGCATGGAAGTGACACTCAATACCCTCAAGACTTGGTTTACATGAACTATGAAACTGTTGACATTGCCAAGTCACCCCATGTTTTTGCAGTATTGGATGAAGGTTGCAACAGCACTTGTCATAGCAAAGCCTGGGCAGTCGATGCAGAAGCACGACTGGCCCGATTAGGTTACAGCATGCCATTGAAGGATGACGGTTGTAAGAGTTTTGCTGGTCTGGGAAGTGGTAGTACCAAGACCGAAGGTGTGAGATCTATTCCTTTTTCGCTGCTGCTTCCAGACGGGAACATGCATGGGGAGTTGGATTCATATCAATTGTCAACAGGCAACAGCCCATTGCTTCTTTCATTGCATGCGCAAACCAAGTTAGGCCTAGTGAAGGACCTAGCAAAAGGGGTGATTTCCATCAAAGACCAACCATTGAATATCAAGAGATGTTCCAAATCAGGTCTACTTGTGATGAACTTGACTGAAGG